AACCAAATCGATTACAATTCTCTAAATTGAAAATTTTATAAAATAAAAAAAAATAGAAAAACGTAAAATTTATTTGAATTGAATATCGCATTTATTGTGATACAACATGTCATCGGGATAATATGTGTACGTCATCGTTTGGTACCTTCGCAAGTCCTGGTTCGACTATGTCCGATGCCGGTGGCGATACAAACTTTCGACATTAACCCGTACCCAAGTTTGTCCTTTCACACGCCAACAATCATATTTTTGCCTGACCGCAAAATTATCTAATTGCCATGGCTATAAAATATTGGCCTAGTTGCCGGATAACTTCGGGACTCAGTCAAATTAAATGCTGGCACGATCCAACTATTCCCTAACTTCCTTTTCGCTTCTTTTTCCTTCTTTTATAATGTCATATATATATATATATATATGACATTATATATATATATATATATATATATAATAACTAAGAATTTATATATAGGTATGTATATAAAAACGTATACACACACAAATGCAATATATATTGCCCATATACTCGATCCTCTTGTTAAGATTGCATTACGCTTTTCATTTATAAGATAAATACAATTGAAATTCAAGCGTTTGTTCTTGCGGCGTATTCTATTCATATTCGCACGCGAGGCAAGCAAATTATCTCAATTCCGTTTATTTATTTGCGTGATGGTTGCCTTGTCGATATTTGTTGAAGTATAACTCAAGTTTCGATACAGTCGCTGTAACGTCTTATCGTTTCGTTGAGATATCCAGATCAGCTCTAGGCACGGTGGTTATGGCCGCCCGATCAACACCGCGTTTTGGATTTGCAGATGAGAGCTGACGCAACCGTCCGAAACGTTGTTGAAAAGATATCGAAGTGAAGAGCAGAAAAGTCCTGGGGGCTATCATATAAACTCCACCACGTGCATGTAATTCAGCCGAGTAAAACGCTAGCCAATAAACTTGCACTCGGGACTTCTTCTGTTTTCTTTGAATGCATTTCGTGGGCGCGCCTGCGTTGTAGTCTAGGAGGGCTCCGTGCTTCTCGATATTTTCTACGGCGCGTTGTTTTTCTTTTATCGTCCCGCTCGAACTTATTTACCCGTCTAAGCTTTTGATATCATATTTTATCACAGGCGAACGAATTCACGCATTGCCTGTTCTTTATTTCGATATAGCAGTAAATATAATAGTATCGATACACCTCGCTTGATATGCGCCGTGGAACATAATGTACAAAAGAACAAACAAGATCTTTTAATTAAACGTTGTTTTATTGTTATTAAAGGATTGATCTCCTTCTTAATGAATTGTTATAAATATCTTCTATATATAAAGAAAATGTAGTTTATGATAAAAAAGAAAGAATTCTCGTTGTTTAGAAAAATACACATACATACCTATAGATTTAAAACATTTAAATAAAAATGTTAACGACATATTACAATATCATTATTTGAGAACGGAAAATATTGGTTTTTTTTAGATAAAATTGAAGAGTGTCAATACATTGTCAAAAATAATATAATTTAATTAAATTTATGTTGCTTAATTTATCAAAAGAATTACTTTAGAATTATTCTATACATATATCATAGAAATGTTAACATAATGTTATAACATGAACATGATATTAAAATGTAATAAAAGTCTTCTTTCTTTAATCTAATTGTTACATACTTTTAAATATCTAATTTCAGATTTCTCTAATAACGTCTGTTTAATAAGATTTCTGTTATAAAGGTCTATTATAAATTGGTTATGTGTTGCAAGAGTTATGACGTTTTGTGTGTTGCTAACTTTTCTTGTAAGGCAATTGAAAGAAATTACTGTTGCTACTAATGCTAGCGAAGCAGGAGCGTGATATTATGCGAAATGGTGACTTTGAAGTGTGTAATTTCGCACATGTATATGCGTCTTACAAGTTGTATACAATTGGCCATCGACACAATGTAAGAATTTGCTTGAAGCGTGCCAAGTCGTTCACTGAAGTTTGAGAGTTTCGTTAGAGTTTCGTAAGATTGCCAATAAGATTTTGTATTTTTCAATGTGAATAACGTATTTGAAAGTATTATTTAAACATAAAATAAACTATTATTCATTTTTAATCGGTTAGTTATCGATTAGCTGATTAAAAAGATACAAATTTTTTTAAATATGTTTTAATATATTTGTACAATTGCAGACACGTAAATAAGTAAACGGTTCTAAATAGATAATAGTTTTAATATTTTATTCTTTGAACAAACTGTGTCGAAAGCTTCTTAAATATTTTATAATACAGCAAAAACCAGAATAGAAAAAAATTTAATATATTTAGAGAGGATCCAAACTTTACTGTTAATTAAGTTAGTAATCCACTCGTATTTAATATTACTTTAAATAATTTAATACTATATATGTATGATTAGATTATGTCATATATTTTTGATATTTACTTGCATTTACGCATCATATATACTAGACACCACAGATGCGCGCTTCGCGCGCAATATTTAGCTTTAACACATTATGCTATTACTATTACACTATTAACTTCTTGATACACACAATTATCAAAACATACGACAACAGCTGCAAATAAAGTAAGCGCAGCGAGAGAACCAATCGGCATCGCGAAAAAGAGACAACAATAACCGCGATATATTCGAGTATCGACTTTGCACGCCTTTTTTAGAGAGGGAAAAATGTTTTATAAAATACGAGCGTTTTCTATAAGATACAGTTTTATTGCTTCAAAGAGTTGGAAATAGAGTTTAAATTATTTGTAACAAGATAACCGAAATTTTTGGACTATTGTATAATAAAATTGAAAAAAACAAGATGCGAATTTTAGACCTTCATATTATAGAAGATCTTGAAAGTCAAAATGAAAATAAATTTTCGAATTATGTCGGTGTAGCTGCTTATAAAAAATGAGACGGACAAGATGTTGAAACCATCAAGCGCAATCCAGGGTTTTACTGCGAAACTCAACATGTAGATTCGGTTAGAAGTAAAAGTAAATTACTTTTACGTCTAACAATAAAGTTGAAGGTAAAAGTTATAAATCAATGTAATTTCACGTGATTGCGTTTTTAATCGCGAAAACGTATATCCGCGCTTAAGAACTGTCACGAGGGCTGAATGTTTACAGCGCGAGAGAAGGCGAACAAGGTAAACTTCTCTACGAAACTATTATTTTCTCTTATGAGAAATTTAAGGTACGTTCGTCGAGGAATATTAACCACGTAAAGGTGGCCAGCAAGAAAGTACTTTCTGCGAATTTGGCCTATGCAAATACGGGTGAACAATCCGGGTAGGTCGAGTTTGCAAGCCTTCGCCTAGTGAAAAAGTTTGGACGCCCCGCGACGAATACTAATTAAAGACTTGCGGAATGAAATTAGTTAGCCGAGGGGTCGCGGGAGGGGGGGTGACTCTCGAGGATGGACGATGGAGTCCTCGACTCGGCGACGAAGAGCCGCTTATGATAATATAATAATACTTACTTGGGGCCTCGGAGTGCTACCTCCAAGCTCATTATGCGTTTAGTTCATAACTTCAATTGGATTCTTACTATCCCTACCGAGCCGGGGCTTTCATCCGACCGTTGTCTCAAACCATCCTAATTATACAAGTAATTACTATAGCGAAAGAGAACGTTTCAACTCATTCATGGCCGCGATGATGCTGCATAAGCAAAGATAGTTTATCCCTTTTGCAATTCAAATATTTTGTTCGAGATATTTGATTAAAATTTATTGTACTTATTATAATTTCCTTGCAATAGAAATACAGTATCATAAATTTCAGTATTTAAACGTTTCTATCATATCACGTATATACCTTTATTCGTCAACATTTTTGATGGCTATAGTTTCTTTTCATTAGAATCGTATTTGGTTACTTCAGAATTCGGTGCATTTTGAAATGCGATTTACGACTTACCGTCGGTAAACGCATTTTAGAAGAGAGAAAAGAGAGAAAAGAAAATATTTGTGACCCCCATTGCTACGGGAAATTTTCACAAGGTCCATACTGTCGCTCGCCAGGCTTTGAAATCAATCTCAGTACTCTGGGAACATGATAGTACGACGCGAGTAGAACTTCTTCCTTCCTCCACCTCGGTCCATTGAAAAAAGGCTCTTGAGTCCATCTCAAGGTATCGATTAACAAACACTCGAACAGCTAGTGCTGCCTTTGTAGAGCCCGCTTTGCAGAGTAACCGTTCGTGGTAAAGCCGTTTCGAGCTTTCCTGAATGGCACAGTGAAAGCTTTCTGTGCGAACGACTCACCGAGTGTTGCACAAGAGGCGGACCTTTCGAACTCCACAGAATAACGCGACCGTGCGCATCCATTTGTGCGCGGTAGAATTTCGCCGACCTAATCGAATTCCGGTTGCGTCGGCGAAATTTCCGCATTCGCGACCGACGAGCGCGATATTTAATTTAGCAGCGCCGATTTGGTATTCATGACGAGACATGGCTGTGGACGTAAATATAACGCTTTGACGGAGCACTTGGAAATATGTATCGACCCTTTGATTTTCTTTTCCGAAAATTGTACCGATATTCTATTCGTCGGGCTGACTTTGACTCGTCAAAATTGCTTTTAGCTTTTGCCATCGAAGACTTGTACTTAACATGCTTCTTATTTTTAGATAAGCATGTGAAATTCTTATAATCTTATTTTCTCATTTTTACGTTCCGATCATTGACAGTACCCGCTTTTATACAGACGAACTCCTTATTGTATATTTATGTTATACAATATTTTGTAAAATTTTAGAAAGTAACACGATAACGCGACAACGTGACAACGCGAAATAAGAAACCTGACAGAAAACTTACTTTGTTTAGATGAGAGATTATGTAGGACATTGAATTATACCTACATTCGTTTGCGGCGATGTATATAATTAAATACTTTCACCTGCTATATCAAGAAAACCATTTATCACGATAGTAATCATGCTCTATGCTACACTCTCTTATGCAACAAAACTTTTGACCGTAGTATGTGAAAGTACTTACCCTCGGATTTAGGTGCGGGAGGTTTGCGAGTGGCCCAATTTGTCCGAATACTTCTGCCACCGAGCCATTGGCCGTTCATGTTGCCGATGGCACTCTCTGCTTCCTGAGAAAAGACAACAGGAAAAATCAATATTTCCTGTCGGAAATTCGAATAGCGACATTCATGTATTAAAAGCAGAAAAGAAACTATTTTGTTAGTTGTTAAACGTAGGAGGTTACATAATTTTTGATAGTAATTATGTTGAATTTTGTAAACATTTGTTTATAATTTATAATATTTGCTTTGTTAATATTTCTAATCGAAGTTTTATCATTCTCCTATGACCTATAACCTATATTATTATATATTTAAAAACGATTTTCATTCTTTTATTTTTTGCAACGTTGGTTTTCGATTTTACAATAAAATATCTTTTTTTACAATGCCTTAGTAGTGTATCAAATTTTATTTGGTCTTTATGCTATTGCATCGTTTATTAATTTACTTTTTGTGATCAAAACAGTCGTTGATTTTACAAAAAGCATTCAGACGGCAATACAAAATATTTTTGCATATATACCAAACGGTCGTTTTATTTTATAATACACTTTATCGAATGCGTATGAATGGATATGATTGCAGTTAAATTTACAAAATTCTTGCGTTACAATGCTATATCCTGAAAACACACGCTAAAACACACAAATAAATGGTATAATACAAAACGCAAAAACAAAGAAGATAATCAATGCTTTTGTAAAATTCGTCACGTAATTAACGCGAATTTCCTAAAAAATTATAAATAATTGTGAAATTATGGAAAAGATAGGGACCGTGTGTATTTACGTATTACAGAATGCTTCTAAGGGATTTTACCGAGAGGCGAATGAAAATACGCGTCGTCGCGCAGTGCCTCTGCGAAAGCTCCTTTATTGTCTCTCGCAACGTCTATAACAACAATTGCGGGACGTCGCGTCGTAAGAACCGCGCGACGGCATCCGCGCGAGACGCGGCGGGAGGATGCCGCCGCATTCACACGCAAAACCGCGGATAAAACCAACAGGTATGTTGACGTCAATATTATCCGCGACTTATTGTTGATTCAGCCGCGGTATCCCGCCGGCGTGGCCCTCGATCCAGGTCAACTTAATATACGTTTTGAAATTTTATTCGATCGACTGCACTCTTGATTCCCCGGATTTTCGTGAACCGCTTCGGGCGATCCGGGACATTTTCCATTGCGACATTGGATTCTCGAGGAAGGGTTGGGAACACCTATGGCAAAGACGAGAAAGCACCGCCGACGTATACATATTTCTACGAGCTATTTGCACAATTCGTGGACATTCGACTGAAACGATTTTCACGGCGGTAACCAATCCGTCTTCCTATACATTCATTATACGATTCGTATGGAAAACAAAATCTTTATATTAATCGCGAAACTTGCGGAAAAGGTAAAGAAATAGCATCACCGTGATATTCGCAACACGAAGCGAGAAATAGATACAGTATGGCACACGTCATCGCTTGCATCGTGCAGTACACGCACAAAGACATACATTCGCGCGACATCGTGACGATGGTATTCGGACGGTAGATCCCCAGGATGGCTGAGAGATGGAGACCTAAAAATATTCTCGACACGAGGAATTCCCCGAAAAAGTTTACTGTTCGAAAAGCTCTTTGGGCATGAGAGACGAAGGGAAGATACCTCTCTTTCTCTCTCTCTTTCTCGTTTCCTCCTCCCTCTCTCTCTCTCTCTGTCTGTCTGTCTGTCTGTCTGTCTGTCTCTCTCTCTCTCTCTCTCTTTCTTCCCCGCTCTCTAACCTCCCACAGTCTTTACCTCTTTCCAGTCTACCCTCTGCCGTTCTCTGCTTTCAGCCATTTGCGCCATTCGGGGCGTCCTCGGCTTTGCCTTTGCCTCATCTCCAGCCGTTACTTTCTTCCACGGCGCAGGCTACGCTTCAGCCAGCCAGTGGCTCTCTGCGCTTTTCTGCACGATCCTCATTCTCCCCGTCGCACACCGCCCGCTAGATAAAGTATTTCCGATTCGAATCTCCATTCCCGATATGATGCCGCACATTCGCGCGGTTAGCCTAGATAGAGCTCAGGCGACCGAATGCCCGTTCTAAGCCGATTCTAAACTTCGGTCGATATCCCGCCTCTTCGACCCGCAACCCCTGAAAACCAACGCCGCTTGCCTCCTTCCGTCCGGCGTGACCAGGGCGTTTACGTGGTACCAGAAGTGCCACCTCCAGAAGCCAGTTGCCTCCCGTCTCACCCTCCCCTTCCCGCATTTTCCACCGGCGGCCGGCAGTTTGAGCTGTCCAAGCACCCATCAAATCGAATTTCTTCCGCGGTCAGCGATGCTATAGGCAGACGGGAGCGCCGCTTACTGACACCCAACTGTTTTACACGCATTATTAAGTCATGCGCCGGCACGGAGTAACGCGCTGTCGGATTACGTGGCCTTAACGAAACTTTCTTCTGCACCAAACAAACTGTACAAAGCCCGATTGAGATCGACTTTGCCTCTTTAAGCTTGTCTCTTTTAAATTTTACATTATTTATGTTAATTTTTTATTGTTTTTCTCAATCAAGCTCTGATACATGTTCTTAATCAAAGGTATAAGTATTTTTAACAAATTGTGGTATATAAGAATTAAACTTGTTAGCGTTTTTACATATCTTGTTAGCAATTATATTATAATTTCGTATTTAACAAGAAATTATTAGATTAAATGGTAACATTTGGTTTATTAATAACTAGCTGCCCCGGCGAACTTCATACCGCCTAACAGTAATGAATGTAGTGATAAGACACGCAAATAGTCCCTCTCTCTCCCCCTCTCTTTTTCTCTCCCTCTCTCTCTCCCCTCCCTCTCTCTCTCTCTCTCCCTCTCTCCTTCTCTCCCTCTCTCCCTCCCTCTATGTATTTTTTCTATGTATTTGGATATCTTTCTAGATTAATTTTTTTTTTCACGTGAATTTTTCCGATATTTTATTAGTTATTCTGCTATTCCGGAAAATTCTACCCTTATTTCATATACTTGTGGTAAAAATTCGGCCCAGCCGTTCTTGAGTTATAAGTGTTCTAACTAACCCGACTTTCTTTTATATATTAAGATTTTTTGTTGAAACTTTAATACAGTATAAATGATATATGTTTGTACAAACCACACGCGCTAAGATGTTTGAACTTTATTTGTTAGGATAATAGGGCAAAACTCCAAGCGGTATTTCTATCGAAACGTTTCCAATTATTTATTTAATTTGTTCGTACAGTCGAGGAAACTTAAGTAACATTTCAATTTTTAATAAAAACTGTATGACTCCATGACCAAATAAAAATATGACCTGTTGTTTTAAAAATTCTGCGACTCGCTACGTACGATATTTCTATTGCATCAAAAAATAAAGACTATTTATTTACATGGCTATGCGTATATTCAATGCCACGTGTCAACGTGGCCGTTATGCATTCGATATTTTGACTGCAGCGTAAATAAAATAACGTTAACACATACGAAGGCACCCGTTTTCCAACGCGTCGTAAACGACGTTCTAATTGCTTTCGTTTACCTACCTATAGCGTAGAATACAAATCTACGCGAATGGAAGCACGCTTTTGTGTATTTAAGGTCGTGAGTCGTAATATCGCACGATTTATCGATCAAATGGTAAAGCAACAAAAGTTGACAGTAACTGGAGCGACCTGAGCACTTACGTAGTATGTATGTAAGTACACACCGGCTATCAACTGGTAATAGGGGCAGAGCTTGGACTACATGACGGATCCATCTACGCATTGAATACATTGTACCATATTCGCTCATGGAAACGTTTTATCAATACATATTTCTTTTCGAAATAACAAATCTCGGTTTACTACTATTTCGTTTGAAAGACGAACATTCGAATCATAAATCAATTTCCATCGCGCACGTGTATAAAGAGAACTGTTGCCTAGTAGTAACGTATCGTCGCACCTGTGATGAATGTCGCGTATAGATACACGAAACGTATAGGAGCACGCAGCGGGACATTATAAAGCTCGGTATTCATTAGATGCAGTATTTGGGAGTTCGAATCTGTCTCCCAAAAGAAAAAAAAAGAGAAAACGAGAATCCCGGGAATTCCTATTTCGTCGTACATCTTAAAAGAGCCAGGATGTTAGATGCTGGGCGATCAGAGCTCGCGATTTAGATACGTGTATCCGACGGTCGAAGGATATAGTGGCGGTGGGACTGGTCGGTGGACGGGGGATAGCGGTGGGAAAGGAAGGGGAGAAATTTTCGCGTGTTCCTCGAGGTTAACGGAGACACTCGGGAAATTTATACTTCGGCAATAGTAATACCGCGGGTGTGAGGCAGGTGCCGGCGGTGGTCCAGATCGATAGGACATTAAAACAGAGGGGAAACGGAGAGAGGGTCTACCTTCGGGGCAGGCGCCTCGACGAATAACCCCGCCATAAACGGAGGAAAGCCTTCTTTTACTCAGCCGTACATCTAACTTCGCCGTGATTTACGTCGCGGATTTTGGCGGGTCACACTAAAACTCCGGCCACTCTCCATTTAGCCCCGAAAAATGATGTTGTAAACCGTGACGGTCGGACCCTCCTCCTTATTTGATCAGCGAAAGCCGGGAGGACGGCGTCAAGTTTGACATACTGCGAGAGTGATGGATGTGATTTCGCAGTTGTTGTCGTTGAGAAATATTTGCGTTCTTTCCGACTTTGGGGACAATCGGAGTTAAATGCGCGATAATTAAAATGCTGCTCGAAAGGGAATTATCTACTTTGCCGTTATGTTGCCGTAATTCTGATTTACATAAAAATGCATCGAGCTCTTTTATCTCCTTTACTCACACAAGTGCTCTGCATGCAGATAATTTTTTATTTCATTTTTATTATAATCTCGTAGGAATGAAATTACAAACGTTGCTGTTTTAATTGACGTGCTTTGCATGCTCTAGCCTTCTTTAGAACGACTGCTTTTTGGACTTTCTTGAAAGTGGCCACATTCTGGTAAAAGAGCACGTTACAAAAAAGCGTGATGCATAAAGTTTTCTTGTAAGATTCTGCAAGATTCTGAAGTTAATTCGGAATAAGTACATTTTTGGTAGTTAAGATTTATCGATTGGTACATACTCTCGGACTTATCTTATTAAACTTTTTAAATAGAAAGAAATTCCTACTGCTAAAAATAAATGTTTTTCATGCTGTAAAATCAGAACATGAATGAACAGAGTTGTAAAATTTTGTGTTTGAGAGCTATATGTCCCTAATAATTTATATTTTGTTGTATTTCTTAAAAATAAACATAACTTATTGACTAGCAAGATTACATATTGTATATTAATCTACTTTTAACATATAAATGTGCATAATTAAATGCGATAGTGTCTTGTGTAAAGTTTAAATATCGTAGCTAAGGCTCATGTGATAGAATCAGTTTATTATCTCAGCTACGATATAACGCTAAATTTCATACTTTTTAAATAAAGAAACCGAATTAATAATATCGCTCGCTTACCGCCTTTTTGACGAACGAAACAAATCCATATCCTTTGGACTTTAAAGTTTGGGGATCTCTGACGACTCTGCAATCTCTGTAACATAAATGTTATATTCGGTAAGATAATAGATATAAATGGAGTGTAAGAATAAAATTCAATTAATCAAGAAATCTTACAAATATATAAAATTCAGTGGTTAAATCCAGCACTCCTTTCTAATTATTTCAAGAATTTATTAATTAAGGGATCTTTCATTTCAATTCGTATCTGACATTCTTTTTGCATCTGATGCCAAGATTTAAATAACTTAAATAATTACTAAGTTTTTAATAACAATTTCATATACCTTAATCACATTTTCTTTTTGTTATAAACATCGAAATAATGCACGTATGAATGTAATGATATTTTTTTCTGAATTCATTCCCGTCTGTGTCTTCATTATTGCAATATTACAGTACTCGTAGCGAGAGACTTCAATTTGTTTCATGCGCAATTGAATTTTGAAACGCTCATATCCTCTGGAAAAGTACTGGTGACATTGTCGGGCGAATTGGGACCGGGTTGCCCGCGCGGACCATCCTCGACGAATTCTTCCTCATAATTAAGATTCCAGTAGCGCCCGGCGGACAAAATTAGGAATACTGGAACGCCCTGGGGGCTGCAGTCGTTTCGGCGGGAACTTAAGGCGAGGAAATATCCTTTCGACCGATAGAGCGGAGTGGCATGCGCCGCGAATAAAATTCCGCATCGCATATATACCGATCTCTCCTTTCACTTCCGTTATCCGGCGGCTACCTGGACTTTTTTCGACCGCAATTGGAACATTTCAAAAGACTACGTCGCGCGCGGTACCCATTATCAACTATGTACGGTGATTGATGTAGACGGAACGGCGGAACTTTGATATATGATACTTTTCACGTACTACGGAATTAATTGCCCGTAGAAAAAAATTGCTGGCGTGAAGATGACAGTACTGATCCTCTTCCTTTATCTTCTCGTTTGTGATGGATTAAGTGCTGAAGAGCAGCATGTAATTAGAAAATAGTTTCGTTCGTTGAGTGACACCTAGACGTTTATGCTAGGTGCATTTTACAAATAGTGAAGCACGATTATTTTTCGTTAACAAATCAAAAAGTCGATCATTTAGACAAAACTTAGTAATATTGTATTAAAGTGCTTCTATTCTATTTCAATAAATTGATTCTTTTGCCACTCAGTTTGCCCATTAAACTGAAAGCATGCTCAGCTTTACGAAGATAAGTCATTAAATGCATAATGCGTGTAATGTGTTATGTGTTTGAAAAGTCTTGCAAAAATGATGTTCGCTGTAATACATGCGGATGGAAAGCGAAGAATAGGCGGTGAAAAAAAAAGCAAAAGGACGACTTCGTTTGAGAAGAGAAGGCTTCAAAGAAGGTTTGTCAAAAGGAAAGAAGGTAAAAGGGAATAAAAGAGAAGGCAGGCGGAATTACGCGCGTTTCAGGCTGTAGCCGGTCGGTACTTCCACTCTGTGCATCAATTTGAATGCACACCTGCCGCGGTTTCGCCCGTAATTAAAACGATTAATCGATCAAAGGACGTATCTGGGCGGAAGCGAAAAGAGTGAGAAAAAATTTGTACCATGTGTACATCCTCCCTAATGAGTAATGATATGGAATAAATTAATCTATAATGACTAATGCGAAACATTACTAATAGCCGTAATTAAACAATTTCAAACCCAGCGTTTCCTTGCTGCAAGAAGGAAAATCGCGAAATAAATTGAAGACTGAAGGTGAGTTCTGAACGACGAATTACATGCCAATCGATTAATTTTTATTGAAAATAAGTTGTGTAAGTTGGCGAAGCGACGTACGTTTCGAAAGTAACTTTTTAGCGGGGTCATGCCGCGAGTAACAAATATGGGCGAGTAACAACATGGGAATAATTTCAATTGACGATACTTTTCCTCGTGGTGATACGCGCACGACATCAAAGGCTTTTCGGAACCGCGATATACTGTTTCCGATTGTTTTTGCCCCGAACCGTCGGAGAACGTCGTAGTTTACGAGCTCGGAATGTTGAGTGGTCAATATAAGTTAGATGTAGAATACGCCGCTAGTCGCCCGCATACGCCGTTACCCACACCTCACATCGCTCACGCCGCATGTACAGCACCTCCGCGCGCGCTGGTACTATCGATATAGGTTTGAGATGTGTTGTGTGTTTCCGTATAGCGCGCTTATTCTCTTCCCCTTTGCCATTTCCTCTTTATGCCCATTTCTCTGGCTGGGCCGCCACCGTAGAGCGAAACAATTGGCGCGACGGCGAGTGCCCCGTGGATTTACGTTCCTCACCGCAAAAAATCATAAATTAATGCATGGTTATTGACGCGATAAATCTCAGAATTTAATTCAGGTTCCGTCGAGTCTTGTCGCACGACACGCCGTTCCTCTCGTCCGTTTTGGCCGGTGATATAGCCGCGACAATGCCAGAGGCTCGCACCCTGGCGGGCAAAGCCTCGATAGGATAAAGAGTAAGTCTGGATTTATTGCCATCGAGCCAGTCGAACACGATGGACGTGTGGATAGAAAAGGTTTTGCACGGGCGGATTGGAGAGCGGGGGTTCGGGGTTCGGGGGCGATGATTCAAATTGTACATTAGACATGTATCCGATATCCCGCATAAGTTATCTCTCAGTCTATCACTTTCGAAATTACATTGCTATATAATATTGTTCATTTCTCCACATCAATAGTAGTTAATAGGATATCATAAATAATGAGCAAATCAATTGTAAGATATAATTTACATTTTCTTAAATAGATATATGTATAACAGAAAACGTAGTGCGAGAAAGGAAATGGCGATATTGTGAACGAAATTTCTATAGCTGTAGAGAAATTTGCATCCAAGGATACACCGTAAGTTCAGATTTATTGCCGTCGACTAGGTCGGGCGTGATAGACGCGAGGATGGAAGGATGGGGTGTGTCGATGTTTCAAATTGCGCGCTAGGGACGTAATCCGCAGAAAGATTGCAGGCTTGTTGTTCGTTCTATCAATTTCGAAATCTTGATTCTATATTGTTTATATATAGGTGATATCTGTTACAATTACACTGGCGGATAAGCGCTTACTTTCTTAAATTATTGAATTTCCAAGGCATCCCGATTAATTATTTTAATAGAATTGTAATATATTTTTATTATTTAAAAGCGGTGTTACTCAATCTGAATCAATAATACATTCACAATTCATAAAAGTCATAGCACGATGACATTCATACAATAATAATACAAGACTTCTTAAATATTGTCGCACTGATTGCGGTTCCATTTCCGTTCCATTTCTGCAAAGTGATTTTCTTAATGTGATTTAATTCTTTTTAAACAAGTCACATAGTTCAATCGTTTAGCAAGTTTCTGGATTTCGTTCTCTTTAATTTTAAAACAAGTATAGCGGAGCTTGTAAAATTCCCAGTGGTAATTTCTTTTATCTTGGAAAGTAAATTCCCGGGATTGATAAAAGCTACTGGCCGGCAGTCCAATTTTGATAATTAACATGCGATTCACTCGTACAGTATTTACTTAACAATTGCTGGTTTGCAATGCCTGCTGGACGTATTCTGTTCGTAAACACCGTACTTTTGCCAGAATGCTCGATGCATTTCAACAAGTCTAAACTGGTCTCCTTGCCTTCCTTGCATTTTGTTCGTATCTTTTTCCTGCGTCCTCTCTTGCCTATCTCCTTTTCATCTATTTTCTTTCTTGTCTAATGCGCCATTTCCCTCCTGCATCCATGCTATTCCCTTTCCATACATACTATTCTATTATTTTGGAAACATTCAAATGTACTTGATAATATCATATAATTGAATCCTACTCCGCAAAAAGTTTCTCTCAGTTTACTTAGCATGAAAATCAAACATTGATGAAATTTTTCATTCGCGACATTTGCTTTTCTCTGCGTTCGAGAGAGTCGCAACTTTTTTTTAAATAATGACAAATTATAAATAGTAATTATAAATTTTACATAATAATTTTAAATATTATATCATTAAATATTATACATTTTGTGTTTTATATTTGTATAATTTTCACAGGATGAATATGACGTTACTGAACTAATATGTTATGCAGTTTTAAGATCTCTTATGCAACCTTCTGCAACATTTCAAACATGCGTGTCGTAAAGAATAGGCAATCTTTATTTCCATCAGTCGAAGCCTACGTTTCTATCAATGGTCGTTGAAGCGTTCCACCCCGTTCTTATTTCGTACAAGATATTTTCGATAAGGCGGGAGGAGCAGGGAAAAGGAGGATCGTGAATTGACGAAATCGTGTCACGACCTCATCAGTTTCATATCCTTAAGCCGCGAAACTTTCGCGTATTAACCTCTATTCCTTGATACCGCTTTTTCATCTTTCATACTGTGTCGGTTCCTTTGACTACGTGCTGCGCAGGCAGTCTTTCCATTAGCCGCCGGAAAAATTCAAACTCATTAATTAGGCGCTAGGAATGGCGCGTCAGCATGAAAATCTTTGTACCGTAGGATCTGGGTCCTTATCGCCCGGGCAACGAAGATTGAAGAACACCATTTTCGAGCGGGCCGGGGAGAGAAATCGTGGGGGTATGAGCGTCCGCGGGAACAGATTCATCAATCTACCTACAAATAATCGCTGCAGAGTGCTATCGTTCATCAGCATTTGATCGCTATTCTCGGACGCCGTTTATCGATTTCTGTATCAAGGGAATAACAACTTATCTGTTTACAAGAGATAGAAATACCAAGTAGAGTAGAACATTTATAAAAGCACGCGACATTTTATGATGACAAATTGATGTTGTGTCATTGAAAGATTCCAGGAGAAAATCAGGTCGAATGTGTCGACTTAATTATTAGCTGAGTGTACAATTATATCGCACAAGTTTCATCGTTTATGCAGTACAACAATACCAATTTTCAGTATGTTTTTACAATCATGCATAGATTTTACCTTATAGATGTAGATAAAGTGTCACACGTTCAGAGCACAAATTTCATTCTTTGCTCGAACTATAGGTACACTATTTTAGGGTGTGCTACAAGGGAAAGCCTTTATCGGA